AACATTAACTAAAAATGAGCTTCGGCTTTGTACTAACATTAGTATATCCATTAGCAAGGATGGGCAGCAAACCCTTTCTTGGGTTGGAATGAAGCTGCTAGCAGTGCTTCAGCCGACACACAAACACACTGAAATCACTTTCATTCCAGTGCAGCCTCCCTCAGCTCTCTAAGCCCTTCTCACACCACTACGACCTGAAAAATGGAGGCTCTGTCTAGCAGCTTTATTGGACTGTACAGCCATTTACGTTTGAGCCGCCAGAGCCAGAATCCAGTTCAGAGTCAGAGGACACTGACCTACCCGCGAATCAACCTCGTTCCTCTCTGTCTCCAAAAGAATGGTCATTTTTTTTCTTCCATTTATGGAAGTTAGCAACAGGTATTACTGACAAGCTTAACTTAGGCAAAAAGAAAAACTATTTTGCTATTGAGAGGAAGAACAACTGATACTAATGCACTCTAGTTTTTATAACATTATAGAGCTGGGGGAGGGGTCATGCTAAGTATGGCTCCAGTCGTCGAGCCATGATTTCAGGCCCCCCCAAAAATCACCAAAATTATGAAAAACAGTTTAATGGTCTAATTTCACAGCTCAGTTCTATAGTTCACGGTCTCTTCACATGTTTTCAGCAACCATTTTCTGACATGAAAACAAATTTCTAAATATACTTTTAACATCTATGTACCTTAGACTGCATTGTGAGTGCAGCTACCTGTCCACTGACTATAGTAAGAAAACTGTGCAGAAAATTGTCCAGGAACTTTACAAGCCTGAAGTGGCAGTCTGAGCACTGCAGACCTGTTCTGCCTCTTCTTATGAAACACACTTGATCAAGGTTATAAGCTAATTAGCAAGGTTGTTCATAAACTGAATTCAGCGCATTAGACAAGGGAAATGCTAATCTCTGCAGAGTTGTGGCCTGGAAGGAACCCAGTTTGACATGCCAGGTCAAAGTGTTGGCCCAATCATCAGGAGATTGTGAGGTGATGCCACAGCCATCCATGACACAGCATAACTGGCCTTGTTCTCTCTGGATGGTTATGATGGTTCTCCCTCTCCTCCCATTACTCAGTGCAGTGCTAGCTAATGCTGGTGTCTATTAGCCTATGTAACAGAATTGGCAGTTAGCCTTCTTCTCCAAGTTCACTGAGCCGTCCAGTGATGTCCAGCTGATTAGCGGCAGTTTGAAAAGATGCAGCTGCCCTTCCCAGCTGGGTAGCACTGTAGGATTGAAAGGAAAGACCTAGCTAGCAGATGGAAACTGGTCAACATTGGTCAGAGTAAGACACATAACTGCACAAATGCGATCTTAATAAATACTTGCACATTTGTGCTAAATGCACACATATGTACATCTAAGCATGCGCTTAAGAAAGACCACAAAAAGCAAGTGTGGACTTTGGGAAAGGGCAGTTGTTTATTTTACATGGGTATCAGGTACTACTAGTAACAAACAGCAACTAGACATTAAAAACACAGCACTCTTCCTACGAGCATTACAGTGAACTTGGCTTTCTCCACAGCCCTCGGGGGAAGTCTCTTGATGTTAGAGAGCTTGCAAACAACTTAACACGCCGTCCAGTGGTCCGCTGGGAGAGTCGTGATCTACCTCTTTCTCAATTTTTGGTTTTAGAGAAGGACACCCTCCCCACAACACCCCATGAAGGCTGTAGAAAGTGAGATGGAGTGACAGGCAAAGAGACGGAGGAGGAGAGCAGGGTGCGTGTGTGTGTGTGTGTGTGTGTTCAGTATGCTTAAAGTGTGCTGTAGAGATACTCTCTCGCCCCTGCAGGGCCCAGGGTCTAATCCCATCTGCTTCACTCTGGCTTAGCGCTGATGGGATTTAACATCTGCTGAGGTACAAACCCCGCCTCACGTGGAGGAAGGCACATCAGATAGGGCAGGCAACTTTTGACTATCTTTCACGGCTCGTACAGTCAGCATAAATCCAAGGTGAAGTAGCGGCGGCAGCTGATTTTGTGTGTCAACAGCCAGGGTTCCAGGTTTTTGGACACAGATTAAGCTTAATCAAAATGACACCGTCAGTGGAAAGTCTGCTTTGAAAATAATTTAAGCCTATCAGTGGAAAAAAAGGACACAGGGTTGATTCAGATCTTCTCATATACAGTCGATAGCTAACACAATCAATCCGAATGTCCCAAACCAAATTTCTCTTGTTGGCCATTTTATTAGAAACACCTACTTAGTATTTCTACTTTGGTGTGGAAGGCCTTATCTGGACTGCACCAAGTCCTGACCTCAACCCCATCCAACACTACTGGGATGAACTGGAATGCTGACTGTGAGCCAGGCCTTCTCGACTAACATCAGCAACTGACCTCACTGATGCTTTTGAGGCTGAATGGAAGTGAATCCCTGCAGTCAAGTCCCAGTGGAAAGCCTTTCCAGAGGAGGCTGTTATATAGGCCTGTGCACAGATGTTTGGGGGGTCTTCCCAGAATGGATCTGGAAACCTATTCACATATTTAATACACAAGACACATATAATACGTATGACAGTCTGTAGAGATGTAAACTTTGACCCAATCCGATGTCTTATTTTTTCCCCACACCCCTTGTTTCGACTGTCACCTTGCCCCGTAAAACTGAGTTACAAGAGGTAGTGGTTAAAATCTTCACTATGAAATGTGTCACGGATTCCTTCTTTTCTCCCTCTGAGTGTCTGTTTCTTCCCCTCTGTTGTAGCCATGTGTCTTTTGTTTTCTTGTACCATGTGCTTTTGTTGTTGCTCTGTGTCTCCTCCCTGGTCCTGCCCCCTTGTTATCTGTTCCACCTGCTTGTAGCTCCGCCCCTCATTAGTCCCAGGTGTGTCTCATTTCCCCTCTGTGTATTTATACCCCTGTGTTTGTTCAGTCTTCGTCTTGCATTGTGAATGTAATCTTGTCTCTTGTTTGCTTGTTGCACTTGTAGTTTGGTTTTGTTTTGTTTTGTTTTCATTATGGACTCTCATTTCAATAAAAACTCGCATTTGCATCCCGCCTCCATGCCTCAAACGTTACAAAATGAGACCCTCAAATAAAAAGAGCATTACTTCATTAACAGCTACTAGCGCTGCTCTGTAGGCGACCCTGCCAGTCTGCTGTGACAGCAGAGGAGGGTAAAGTTCAGCTCCTCACTGCTGGGATTTAGTTACATTTAGGACATCATATGCCATCAAAGAGGCGGGGTGACAATTATTTCTTATAACCCACCTCTAATTCTTCAGTGACATGAAGCTGAAGTCAGATATTTTCCAGCATGTTGTTTGAATTTTCCCGTTCCACCATAAATAGTGCAGCAGTTCCAACCTGTAAAGTGCCAAAATGTAACTGCCGCACCACTTAAGGTGGAACTACTGCCATTTTTATGCTTGCTTATGAAGAAAAGCACCATAACACATTGAAGCAGCATTAAACTACGAAAATACAATGGTTGTCATAATTTTTAACGGAGAAAATTCTCACATTTGTGGGTTTTTTTGTTGCTTGTTCAGCCGTCTTGCCTTTTCTAATAACACTGTGTGGAGTGTGCCTCTACAGACCTTCCATTTGGAGGGCCACATAGTCCTAAAACTGTGCACTACCCCTCCATCTCAACAAAAATCAGGACACCCTACCCCAGTCGTGAACGCGCAAAACTGAAGGGTAAGGGCTAAGGGCCTTCTAATTAAAGAATTCAGCTACTTTGCAGTGCACCCGTTGTTGACTGAATTCAATTAGTGTTCTCCTCCAAGCATGTTGAGCCATCAAATGACATTGCTACGCAGCAGTGATGCTTCCTGTGTCTCAGAGGAAGCATATGTTAGACATCACTCCCAGCTTGGTAGCATTTGTGATGAGTAGACCTACCCAGCAGGTGGAACTGACCGTGACGAAATTGAAGGAAAAACGAGGTAAAAATATAAAAAACCCAAACCAGCACGCAAGAAATATCCAGCTAAGAGCAGTTCTATGATCAAAACCCCACCACAAATGAAGGGCTGGTGAATTGCTAACACAAGCCTTTCATGGCAGGAGGTGGGTCACAGTCTCTAACTGCGCACCAGCAAGATGCAGCTAAAAGTTAGGCTTCTAACAAAATGTGAGTGCACTGTGTCATAACCCATGAAGCATGGGACTTGTTTGTCCAGCCATTAAGTCAATCAGACACTGACCTTTGACTTTGAAACAAGACAGCATTTCTGACAAAGCCTTAAAATAGCCCATCAAACAGAGCAAGCTGACAAGGCCACCAGATGTGTCTATGAGCTTTGTAATTGTCCCTGAGCCACCAGAAAGAAGTGGAACGTGGCAGTAGATCTATGGCAATTGTAAAATTGTAATAGCTTTTAAACGCAGACCCTTTACAATATTTACAAGCACAATGCTTTAGTGAGAGGTATGCAATATGTGCTCACTTTGCAGCAAGTCTTATAGAGGGAGATCATACATCATGATGAATTTGAGCCTCCTCTTCAATTTCTCCCATCTGCAGTAGAGAACATTTTCTAGTGTGATTAGATCTGTACGCATAAGGCCTCCATCACAAAAGAACAGGGCGAGGCTGTGTGTGTCTGTGGTCAGCACAATACCATAAAAGTGACAGAGAGGAACGTTACATAAGTGTTTATGGTCCTTCTTGGCCAAAACTACATTAATAGAACAGTGGAGCATTGTCTTTCCCTCTCTGATAACATAAGCACATAGCATCCAGTGCCAGTGAACAGAGTGCACTCGAATTAGACTAAAGTGCAGGTGCACTGACCAAACCTCCATGTGGGTTTATCACCCAGATTACACAAACATGACAGAAGGTAATGTTGTCTTTTCTTTTTTACCCATCTTCCTGACATTGGATCATTGGTAAATGTGTGTCTGATGTCTACAGAGCCTTTTATGCCACAACAAAACCCACTTAAACTTCAAACAGTCTTCAAATTGGTCCTACAAAAGATGAAAAGCAAGCAAAGTGGCTGCGTGCGTGTAACATGACGACATACTTTGTGTGTTTCTGAACTGTAGGTGTACACTCGCTATGGAAAGTGCTACACATTCAACGGGAACAAGACGTCTGCAAAGAGGACGCGCCAGGGGGGCATGGGGAACGGCCTGGAGCTGATGCTGGACATACAACAAGACGAGTACCTCCCTATCTGGAGAGAGACTAGTGAGTAAAGCCACAAGTACTTTTACCTTAACTAAAAATGGCCCAACCCTATTCCTCTAAAAGCTTATTATTCCAATTTTTAGTGTTACACACTTATTATTATTCAGCAAATTTTTATACCTCGAAATATCTAGTAACTATTATGAATTATTGAATGACTACTATGAAACTAATATCAAAGGTAAGTAGTTGTGAGTGTGAGGAAGAGAAATCTGCACTCACTGATAGGCTTGTGGAGTTTAAATTAACTGTGTACATGTAAAATGGGCAGAAAGCTGATATCAGACACTGACCACAAATCTGACAATGGTGAGTGAGGAGACAGATTGCATATGACAACAGATGGGCAACAGTCAATAAATCTATAAGGTAAGTGGAGCTCATAAAGTGGCCAGTGTAATGAAGTTGGTGGAAAGTGTCCAATCTGTCCTTATACCCTACAATTAAACAGCTGAATTAGAATTAAAGGGCTATTTTTATTACTGTGCCTTTAAGACTGGTATATGTAAATGAGCTTTGTTCTGATTGGCTGCCCTGTATTGGCCTATATCTTTAGTGTGAATGGGCAGGGCTAAACTGCAATAGGCTAAATAGGCATATACACTATATGGACAAAACTATTGGAACACACTGCTTAATGCTTGAATTCAGGTGTTTCATTCAATCCCATTGCCACACGTGTATAAAATCAAGCACCTAGCCATGCAGTCTGCCTTTACAAGTGAAAGAATGGGTCGCTCTAAAGAGTTCACTGAGTTCGAGTGTGGTGCTGTAATAGGATATTGTTGTTGCAACAAGTCAGTTCGCAAAATTTCTTCCCTCCTAGATTTTCCACGATCAACTGTGAGTGGTATTATTAAGAAGGGGAAGCGTTTAGGAACCACAGCAACTCAGCCATGAAGTGTCAGACCACGTAAAGTTACAGAGCGGGTCGCCGAGTGCTGAGGCACAGTGCGTAAAAGTCACCAACGCTCTGCTGATCAATAACTGCAGAGACCCAAACCTCCTCTGGAATTAACATCAGCACAAAAACTGAGCTGGGAGCTTCACAGCATTGGGTTTCCATAGCCAAGCAGCTGCATGCAAGCCTTACCTCACCAAGCATAATGACAAGTGTTGGATGAAGTAATACAAAGCACACCACCACTGGACTCTGGAGCAGTGGAAACATATTCTGTGCAGTGACGAATCACTTTTCTCTATCTGTCAGTCTGATGGACGAGTCTGGGTTTGTTGAATGCCAGGAGAACGTTACCTGCCTGACTGCACTGTGCCAACTGTAAAGTATGGTGGAGGAGGGATAAATCTATGGGGTTGTTTTTCAGGGGCTGGTCTAGACCCCTTAGTTCCAGTGGAGGGAAACTTTCATGCTTCAGCAGACCAAGATATTTTGGACAGTTGTACACTTCCAACTTTGTGGGAACAGTTTGGGGAAGAACCTTTCCTGTTCCAGCATGACTGAGCCCCAGTGCACAAAGCAAGGTTCATAAAGGCCTGGCTGGGTGAGTTTGGTGTGGAATAACTTGTCTGGCCTGCACAGACTCTGACCTCAACCCCATCAAACACTTTGGGATGAACTAGAACAGAGATTGTGAGCCAGGCTCTCTCATCCAACATCAGTGTCCGACCTCACAAATACTGTTCTGGATGAATGGGCAAAAATTCGCACAGACACTCTCCAAAATCTGTCAGAAAGCTTCCCAGAAGAGTGGAAGCTGTTATCCATGTCAATGCTTTTTGATTTAGAATGGGATTCATAAAAGCTCTTGTAGGTTTAATGTGTAGGTGTCCCAATACTTTATCCATACAGTGTCAATGCAAATGCATCGGTTTTTATATCATCACAAAAACAACAGTTTTCATATGTGGACTGACAAGTAATTTAAGTGACCCTTATTAGTCCCACAACAGAGAAATTTCACCTCCTCATTTAACCCACCTGTGCAGTGAAACACCCACATACACACTAGGGGGCAGTGAGTACACTTGCCCAGAGCAGTGGGCAGGCCTATCCACAGCACCCGGGGAGCAGTTGGGGTTAGGTGCCTTACTCAAGGGCACTTCAGTCATATCCTGACGGCTTAGGGGATCAAACTGGCGACCTTCCAGTCACAGAGCTGGTTCCCTAACCTCAAGTCCATGACTGCCTCGAAATAGTCCATTTTTAAACTTTAACAATGTTTAGATGCCACACCAAAGTCTTTCATTTCAAAAAAGCAAGGAAAAATTGGTATCCCATTAAAGTCTGACCACACAAAACATTATCTAGAAATTGTACATATGAGAAAATGCACAGATAGATGTTTACTTGCCATCCCTTTCTGCTCAGACGAGACAACTCTGGAGGCAGGGATTCGTGTTCAGATCCACAGCCAGGACGAGCCTCCCTATATTCACCAGCTGGGTTTCGGAGTTTCTCCAGGATTCCAGACCTTCGTATCCTGCCAGGAACAGAGGGTATGATCCAGGAATAAGAACATGCATCTGATAAGGGAACATAAGAGCACTGAGTATCATACTAGCGTATCATTGAAATGGTATTAAAGTGATAGTTCAGAAATTTCCCTTATACCTCAAATGTAGTCACTCAACTCGTTTACGGGTTAAAGTCTGTTTCTGTAAGATTTGCACTCAAGCATACAGTCATGAAATATCATAAATCACAAGAATCAAAAGAAATCTATCTGAGATTACATTATATTTTTAGGTTAACGTAATGGGCCTCATTCATCAATTTTCACCAATACGTTTTTCAATAAATCTGTTCTTGAGAAAGGTCCTAAGAAAAGATTCATGATGTGTTCTTAAAGCACAGAACTGTTCACATCTTTGTGCTCTTGAGTGTGTAGATTCTGTTCTTCCCTAAGAACAAATCCCAAATAGGAAATAATTGGTGAAGGTCAGAATCTTCATGATTCAAAAAGAAATTTCTTCTCAAGAACGGTCAGTAAATGAGGCCCAATGTCACTTCATCCTTGAAGGTGAAAGAAATAGACTTAGAGTCTTTGTGTCTTATTATCGTGCATGGAAACAGAAACTTACATCATTATGACACATTTAAAATACCCTATTTACATATTTTCATACTAGTTTTTAGACATTTAGGGAGTGAAGAACCAGTTTTTATTGCTTTTTTCAAGAAATCTTACTAAGTAAAACTTGTATGTCGTTGCTGTTGGAAGTAAAATCTCATATCTCCAAAATGGTAACTTTACAAGAGAAGGTAAACACACTCATCATGTTTAACGGAGCATTTTTGTCCAAGTAATTTTAGAACATTTCTATTGTCCCAGGGATCATGATTTTTTTAACATAATGCAGAGGTCTTCAAATTATGCACAAAAAAATAAAAACATGAAAACTGGACATTTTGTGCAATAACGACGGTGTGTATATGTAATATAATTTTCCATTTTTCCCGTTTTTGTGAATGGCCTTTTTTGCAGTGTATCTCAAAATCCTTGAAGTAACACAATGTAAGAGGAGGTTACTTCTTAAACAAATAAAATGATTAATATCATAACTATTGACATAATTATCACAACTTGATGAAAGACATTTGTGCTTTTTTTGTGCCAGGAATTACTTAAAATAAGGCCACTTTTAGTACTGATAAAGCTAAATAAATAAAATAATCTTACACTCACAATGTTTTGTAAGACAAGTAATCTTAAAGACAAAAATGAGATTTTTTTGGCTGGATATGAGATCATTTTTCTTGTTAAGATGTTATTTTTTTGCAGTGAATACTTTTGGGGTAAAGGGTAAACTGCAAATTTGGGCAAACTATCACACTACAAGGATCTAATATTTCACATTATGAGACTGTTGTAAGAATATTACAAGGTTATTTAACCTATCTCTATACATTTTGCTTGATTGTCATTTTGACTAGTGAAAGTGTTTTCCATTGGTAGATAACTGCACTTGTTTCAAATATTAATTCTTGAAATAAGCAAAAGTATCTGGATTATTTCTTGAAACAAGTATAATTATTAGATTATTAGAAGAAATAACGTAAACAAGTAAAAATGTACAGAAATAGATTAAATAATCATATAATATTCTGACAACATTTTCTTAATGAAAATTTTCAGATTTATTAGCTAGATCTGAAGCTGCATTATGTAAGATTTATGGATTTGAGACCTCTCTGGTGGAAATGTGTAACTGCATGCACTGCGGGTGAATCCGATGATTGAGAGCGCGTTGAAAGAGAATTCAAAGAGAACTCAGTCAAAACTTGGTGAAGGACATGTCTTTCTAGGATGTAAGTGAATTATAGACTATTGCCATTAGTGTAACGTTGATTCTGACACCTAAACATTGAGTCAGATCTTCTTTTTAACTCTGTGCGGGTGACGCTGATATGTGAAGACGTATGACGTAGTCTGAAAAATTACCACAAAATCAAGCCTGACACCTTCTAAATTATTATTTCAGGCTTTACAGGGCGACTCGCAGCAGCACATGTTTATTTTTCCTGACACAATAATGTTACATCTTTCAATTTGAATAAAAATCGTACTTAATGCAGCTTCAAGATGTTTTTATGTATATCATTTTTGCAGCGCACTTCAACAGCACATAACTTTGGCTTTTGCAAGGCGTACACGGGGACACACACACAATATTGGTTTAATATGCTTTTGAGGACTTAAACTGCCTCCAGTGATACTTGTGAGGACCTACAAAAAGGAGATATTGCTATTGGTGAAGAAATTTGCCAAACGCTTTTGTTAACCCAGCACTTTTTAATGTGTTTTTCTGTAAACGTCCCACTAGCTGTCGTACCTGCCACAGCCATGGGGGAACTGTCGAGCATCATCTGAGCCTGTCATCCCGGGATACGACACCTACAGCGTGAGTGCCTGCAGACTGCACTGCGAGAGCATACAGGTCCAGAGAGAGTGCAACTGCAGGATGATCCACATGCCAGGTGTGCACCTTTAAATGTGTGTGTTTGTGTGTGTGTGTGTGTGCGCGTGTGTGTGTTTCTGTGCGTGTACATCCTGACATTGTATGAAGACCAGAGGAAGTGGAGCTAATCTACAGTGACAAACACAACAGTCCTCATTCTGAAAAGTGCTTTCCTAAAAAGGAAAAGTGCATTTTTAAAACAAAGGGGAAAAAAATCCTTCTGGATTCTGAAGTGAACATTTAGAGTCAGGCTTAGTAAACTCATTATATACACAGTCACATACTAAAGTTTGGGTACCCTTGGTCAAATAACGTTCTGTAGATTTTCTTAGTGAAAATGAGTTACAGTGACCATGTTTTAGCTTTCAAAAAAGAGGATACTGGGGGCCAGACAGCAGCACATGGCAGACTGCAGGAGGCAAACCCAAACCTGGACATTTTAGGCAAATTATAAATCCTGTTGGGATGCATTTTTTATGTCCCAAAAAGAGGACATGTCCTGGGAAATGAGGACTCCACACCATTTCTAAATGTCTGCTTCATTTTCTCCTCCAGTCACTGCTTAGCAACCATTTGCCATTTCCTTGGCCAAACGTTCAGTGTTTTTAGCCGCTAGCTAAAGCAGCTAAGCAGGATGTGTGTAAAAGCAAGATGTAATACCCCAATAAAGGAGAAGTTACTCATTTCCAAAGCCAAACACAAATAAAGAGAAATAGTTGTTAGCAGTGATCTGCAAACTGTCTACTTCTGTGCATGAAGGCATCAAAGGTAAGATATAAATAGTCCATAAACATTTTCCCTGCTGCCATGGCAGTATACCTTAGTTTAGGGCTCTTGTTGGTTTGGGTTTTTAGGTTTGCTTGTGTTCTTCGTCTTTATGTTTAGCTGTCCATTCAGCTGTTAGTTATTGGGTTAATCTACCTCTGTTCTTCTTAATGTGTGCGTAATCTTCCTATTGTTTTGTTTTTACTTATGTAGTATGATTTGATAATGGCACGCAACATAGCATGTTTGAAAATATTTGCCTGGAAACTTGCTGTCATCTTTATGCAACAGAGCAGGTCAAAACAGTTCCTTCTAAATCACAATTATGAATATTTTAACTTTATTATACCAGAAACATTTAATTCAAAATCTTTTTTTTTTAGAACTACTTACAAACTCCATCCCAAAAAGGACAGGATGTGAAATCAATGTAGATGTGCACCACACCCCAAAAAAAGCTGGGACAGGGGCAATTTAAAACTAGAAACATTCTTAAATATTCAGAACATATTTTCAAATTGGTGATGCTTAGGTATAAGAGGAGCATCCAAAAAAGGCCTAGACCTTTATGAGCAAGGATGGTTTGAGGTTTACCACTTTATCAAAAATGTACAAGTACATATTGCAACCGTTTAAGAACAACGTTCCCCAACAAGCATTTGGTTGTTTTTATGGTTTTAGGTATTTCACCTTCTCTGGTCCATGATATTCTCAAAAGATTTAGGTAATCTAGAGAAATGCGTAAAGAGCAGGGCTGAAAAAAAAAAACACAACTGAATGCCCTGAGAAGCCACTACATTAAAAACTGGCATGCTTCTGCTGTCAAAGAGCATTTTTATCACTGCATCCTCAAATGCAAGTTAAGACTGTACTTTGACTGGTCTGAAGAGTCCATCTTTCAGATTGTTAATGGAAATAAACAGTATGGACGTTATGTTCTCTAGAAGAAAAGGGCCATCCAGATTGTTACCAGCATAAAGTTCAAAAGCCAGAGTCTGTCATGGAATGGGGGGGTTTGGGGGTTCAGGGATTACTTGCACATCTGATGATTGCACCATTAACATGAAAGATATACACACATTTTGGAGCAACATGCTTAGTTCAACATAACAGCAAGAAACACTCTGCATGTGTTACAACAGCAAGGCTGTGTAATCAGAGAGTGCGGATGCTAGACTGACCTACCTGTCTACTGTTGAAAACGTGGTGCCTTTTGAAGTGAAAATATGACACTGAAGACCCTGTATAGCTGTGTAGTTGAAGACTTGTATAACAGAAGAATGGTAAAACGTTCCGCTTATGAAACTGAATCAGCGTGAGTCTTCAGCCCGCAAAAGTTTATGAAATCTTATTAAAAGGAAATGTGATGTAGAACACAGAGGTAAACATGCCCTCTCCTAACTGTTTTTGGAATATATTGGAGGCCTTGCGGGGTGGCACGGTGGCGCAGTTGGTAGCACTGTCGCCTCGGAGCAAGAATGGCCGATTGGACATGCTGAATTGCCCCTAGGTGTGTGTGAATGTGTATGTCTGTCTGTCTGTCTGCCCTGCAATGGACTGGCGACCTGTCCAGGGTGTATCCTGCCTTCTGCCCAATGACAGCTGGGATAGGCTCCAGCACCCTACCGTGACCCAGAAGGATAAGCGGTTTAGATGATGTATGTATGTATGTATGTATGTGTGGAGGCATTACATGGAATAAGCATATATTTACAAAATAATATTAATAAAACAATATAGTTCACAAAATGTCAAATGTTGTGTTTTTGTACTGTTTTTAATTTGATACAGGTTTAACAGAATTTACTAATCACTGCTTTTTGTTTTTATTAGCATTTGACTTAATGTACCAGCTTCCTGGGAATTAGGTTTGTAGATAACCTGTATACCACAAGCCCCAACATGTTGTACATGTTTAACCACTGACACTACTACACTATTATGGTGATCTAAAGTGTCGAAATACTAGCATGTGCCTAATATTACACATGGGACATATACATGCCATCACATATGTCCCATGATGTCCTGACATTATATTAAAAACTTTGTGTGCATGTAGACTCAGTCGTTTCAGTGCTTTTAGAGTGCACGTCTCATCTGTAAATTCACCCTTATTGACTGGCACACACCATCAGCAGTTCCATCAATCATCCTCACGCTTGTCAGTCAAGTCGTTCATTGGAAATGGATTTTCGGGGCCATTTGTGAAATGAGCTTTCCGCAGAGATGAGCCTCAAGCTCCTTGCCAGTCACATCTAAAGCCTATATAAGCACGACACATCTCATTGGCGATCAAGCTTTTAGAGTGCCAACCTCTTCCCTCACTGCTTCTGTCTCTGTCGTTCTTTTCCCACTTTTATGGTTTCTGGAAGAGGAGTCACTTGGGCAGCTACATTAATCGGCTCACAGCTTCCAGGACGAACTGCAAATCAGATATTTGTACAGTTCATCTATTCATTTATGCATTGTGGAACATATCTTTGATAAAAGAGGCCAGACACCACCTACAACCTAGTGGTGTATATGACGCACAGGGATACACTGTATACCCACTAGGGGTTCCCAATTTATTTCACATCAGGACCCCCATGTACAGTTTTTTCCTTGCAACCCACCAAATATTATGTGTAGACTTGTCTTGTCTCTTTGATATTTACATGAAATCTATTGGCTCTAATTTTCACTACGAACTGGAGATGGGTCAGAATGTTTGAATATTCAAACATAGTCATGAAATATTTTAAAATCAAACAGTAAATTAGGAATTTTTATATGCAAATTAGCTTCTCTCTAACATTATATATTCCCATGAACGCTGTCTGAACGCTACTCCACCAGAGGGCAGTAAGGAGCCTGCATCTTTGGTCAGTGATGCACAATCCTGTATTTTTGGGAGTTTTGGAGTTGATGGAGTAGACCCCTCAACTCCACTTAATTTGAACCAAGACAGCACCAAAACGCCATTAAAACGAGGATGTAGTGCAGTGACATGGGAGGATATTTTAAGTTGGGGTGCTGAATGTTTTAAATTTACATTTTTTTTATTTAAAATGATTATTTTTTATTTACATCAAACAGAATGTTTAATACACAGAGATACGACAATATATAAACCTAACTTTCAAATCAAAGCCTAACTTTTCGCTCCAACTGCAAATGTCGCACTCCGTATTGACTTAAAAGGGCAGAGCTGTGGGAGATGCAGACAGTGTCCTCTCAATAGGTTAGAATATGAACCAACCAGATGTCATTATGCAGAAAGAACAAATAATAGTTGTGATGCGCGGTGTGGCAAGACAGCTTGAGAACAGACCCAAAATTGTGAATCTCACACCAAACTGTGAGATTTGGCAACCCAGCATGCGAAAGTGAACATACACCATTGTTAGCTTGCCAATATCAGCCTCAGATATGCTGCTCACAGAGGTACAGAGCCTCTTATATCTATTTTATGTTAAGCTTGCCACAACTTTAAGGATTTTTAGGATATCAGTTGCATTCTGACTGCCTATCCATACGCAGTTCTATGCACTGGTTTTTATCTGCCCAGTGGGAAACACAGTTTTGCACTATTTATAGTAGTGGAATAGGCATGTGAAGGGCAACCGTCAGCGTTGACCCTATCATCAGGAGATTCAGAAGTCCAAGAGAGGATGGCCCTCCCACTCCCCGCAGCACGATGCTAGCCAGCGCAGGCATCTGTTAGCTGACATAACAGAACTCTCCTCCAAGCGCATTCAGCTGTCCAATGACGTTGCATTGGCAGCAGTTCAAAAAGATGTGGTAGCTGGCTTCACATGCCTTGGAGAAAGCTTGGGTTTGCCTTCGCCCTCTTAGTGGTGGGTATCATGTGATTGGGGAAGGCCTAACTAGTGGGCGGAACTGGATCTGACTAAACTGGGGAGAAAATTGGAAAAAAATCCCCCCCAAAAAGAGGAATACCTGTGTGAAGTAATACCACTGCATTGCATCTTTAGAACATTCTTCAACATGTTTCTCTAAAGCATTTAGAAGCTAGTAAGTGAGATAACCCTGCATGTTTGCTGGCACAGAACCACTTTATTTCCTTAACAGCAGTGTCTGGTTGGTTACTTTGCAAGACAGTCAGGTGGGCTTTTTTCTAACGAAGTAGGCAGTTCTTTGCTACACTGACAAACAAAAACACATCAGACCATCCTATGACAGTCAGAAGTCTGGCTTGTTAGACTGGCACACAACATTGCAAATCCCATATGGACTCTATCGGAAATA